CGGTTAGGGGGGAGTGGGGACCAGTACCAGCAGCAGCAGCTGGTTTACCTGTTGAGGCTGCTGTGCGGCTGTTGGGGCTCGCCCCAAATTTAGCAATTATGAAGAGTCGCCGTACCGACATCCTGCCCCCCAAAGAGGGAGGTGTGGCCCGATAATGTTGTCAGCTCAATTACAAGAAATTGATGCCAACCCCTCTCCCCTCCCCACCCCGCCGCTGCTAATCAAAGAGCCGTGGAGCAAAATAAAACGGGAAACGGGATAAAGGGAAACTTAAAACACAGCGCAAATGAAAACATAAAATTTCAATATTACAGCATGAACAAATAAAGGATAAAGGCTACAAATTGGTGGGCAGTGCCAGCAGAGAGGAGTACCAACAGAAATAGGTACAAGAGGAAACCAATTGCCAGGCGGTGGATAGCTTGTGGATCCTCTCTCGTAATGCCCATTGGGTGTTAATGCCAACAAAATGTCAGCAAAGCCCCTAAAAAAAAAAAGAGAAGGAAACGCGAGTATATGTATGTACGTATTTATGTATACCCCAGATATATTGGAAAATCGATTAGTAGCAAAATTATATACGAATATATAATGGCTTGAGCAACGACTTGAGATGGCAAGGGCTGAAGCTGAAGCGAAAGGTGTTGGCAAGGATATAAATATGCGGAATAATATGGAAGAGGAGTGGCGGAATTATGGATAGATATTAAATGTATCGATGAAATTATGAAGAAACGTAAATGGATAGTGGATAGTTGAATAAAGGAAACTGCATGCAGGGCTTACTGATAGCAGCAACCATCACAGAATATAACGAAGAGTAACGGAACTCCAAAGGGAGTTGGCTGAAAACAGGAACGATGGAAAGAGACCAAACCATAGAAATGGGAACGATGGAAAGAGACTAAACCATAGAAATGGGAACGATGGAAAGGTTAAAGTGCGGGTCATGCAAGTGGCAAGTAGGAAACGGAATGCTGTGCTGTGCAGAGTAGGAATAATGGATAACTGGGAGAAATAATGCTGAAGATAACGATCTGGGCAGGATACATAGAGAAAAGATTATACACAAGTGCCTCGTACATACATACATAATACGTACATATGTATGTACGTTTGTTTGTTCACCGAATGATTGGCCAGCCCAGCGCTCTCGCATTGCATTATTGCACCTCAAGTCGAGGGCTGTCGCCGAATCAGCACCTCAGTGCGAAAAACCGGTCAGTCCACAGACCTTTTGGGGTGTCATCGGCAGATTGCAGTTGCAGTCGCAGTCGTCTTGTTACGTGTATGATCCCCTCAATAAAAAGTTTATAATAATAAAAACAATCAGCAAAAATGAAAATTGAAACGTCTTGAGGTGGTCGAAGGGAGCTGAAGGGACGGACCAGGGCGCGATATTGGCGCGTGTTCAAGGGAGCAGCTAAGGGAGTCGGAGTCCCTGACCATCTGCAGGCCACCCAGGACTATGCCGGGTACGTGGGCCGCGTGCTCATTAACGCCGCGAATTAACGGGCATTTAGCCAGAAAACAAAAGGCCAACAAAATGTCCCTTGGCCAGAACACCAACGAAGGAAGCAGCAATCGTCTGGGTGGGGCATGGGGCATGGTCATGGGTGTGCAGATAGGCAGGATCATTGCATGTCTGGCGGCCATAAAAAAAAAAAAATGCACAATTAAAATGCATAACAATGAGAAAGCGGCACGAAAAACTTTTACGGCCAGCACTAGGATCGGCCTGGATCAAGGGATCGCGGATATGCACCCACATAGGAGTGTGAGTTGCTCGAGGGAAACGGGAAACCGATGAAAAGACCAGAACAGAACACCACCGAAAAAAAAAACACACACATAAACAAAACATAAAGGAAAAAAATGCAGCAGCGAAAAAATTAAGTTGGAATTTTGAGTGGCACGCGCCACGAACCACGAACCACGAACCACTAGCCACGATCCTCGGTCCTCGATCACCGAACCTCCTCCTTCACTGCACTGCTTATCCTTAATTTCGTTGGCTCTCCTTCTGCTGCTCAGCTGTCGTCTGGCTACTGCTCTCCCTGTCCTGCTCCTTGTGCTCCTTCTGGGGACAGGTGCAAAAAACTCTTTTCTTTTTTTTTTTTTCCTTGCGGCTCTTGTCCGTCCCGAGAGTATCCTTAAGCACACAAACACACAGACAGACAGACAGACAGACACAGCTCTCCATCCCTGTGCCCGGCTCTGCATTAATTCGTTTCTTTATTTTTCGGTAATTGCCGAAAAGGTTCCGAGTGAACAAGCGAATCCTCGTGCTCATACACCCTGCCAGGCCCATGTCCCATGTCCCGTATCCCATGTCGTCCCCTCCATATCCCATGTCCCATGGGGCTGCTATTCGTGCTCTGATCCAGCGTCAGCAGGATTATAGCCACCATCCTCCTATACCTACACCTATACGTATACCTATACCTTTACCATATCATACACATCATGCCCATAATATCCAAAGCTGACTCTCTCTCTGACTCTGTCCTGTTATGTTCTTCGGCTGATCCTTTGCGCTTGATTACGATTTTTGGGGTACTTCTCATTTCTCAAAAGTCATTTCTGCAGCCGTGCGATCATTGACTCTTGTCAGGCAATGCACACGGACACACACACGGGCACTCGCACACACACACAAGCAGCACACGAGTATGCAATGTGTCCTGGTCCTGTGCTTGTTCCTGGATGCCTTTCAGCGAGACCTCTATAGCAGCATAGCATTTAAATTGATATAAAATTTGTGCATTGTTTTAATTTGGTTTTGCAACAAAAAACTCAACTAAATTCAAATTAAAAAGAAACAAAAAAAATAATGAAAATTACATTATAGAAAGCAATGGAGAACCAGGAGGGAGGACCAGTAGGGAGGACCAGGAGGGAGGGACATCTGTCAGGAGCCGTTAGGACATGTTTCTTCAAGTTTTGGGCGCCATTCGACGAGTGGCCACAGCAGATGCTGGGCATCTCCCTGGTCCAGTTCGCCCTTTTTTTACCCCCCCCCCCCCCCCCCCCCCCCCCCCAGTACAATAAAATAAAACCATCTCCCCCCCTTTGCGCCCCCTCCCGCTTCTCGTTTTTTTTCGATTTTGGCTAATTTTGAATAACAAAAGGGCCAACAAAATTGTAGCCCGGACATTTCCATATTTTCCATTGTGCCGACTTGGGATGCTGTGCGTCCGCCACTTCTCACGCTGACCAGTCCACTGACCGCCCAGTCCAGTCCAGTCCGGTCCGGTTCGGTCCGTGTCCCTGTCCTGCCCTCAATCGGACAGCAGCTGTGTTGCTGCCCAAAAAGCTGCGAAACTAGAAAAAGCTTTTTGTTATGCGATTCCTTTGTTGTGCCCACAATGGCCACCAATGATCATAGGTCTTTGGACACCTTGGACACTTGGGTGCTGTGCTCTGGGCGGGCACGACAATAAGAATAGAGTAGGGTCCAGACCAGACCGGAACAGACAGGAGCGCACCGTTTCCAACTGGTTCGAAGCAAGAACTGGACTCTTTGAATGGAGCAATCTTTAAGCCTATTCTGTTTTTAGAAGGAAGCTAGGGAAGGGCAAATGTTTCCCACAGTTGCCAATGCCCAACGGCAACCAAATGCTGGTCACCATCCGAACTGTGGCCAGTTGATCCAATCTCTACAGACAGATCTGGCAGATTATATATGAAATATAGCAGCTAGTTAAGGTTTGGGCATGCCCGCCCGTCTACAGAAATTCGAAAATCTAATTAAGGTATTCAGGTTAAGCATTCGGGAATGTTCCCAGAGGATTTTTGCATATTAAGTTTGCTTTACGCTGCTATCTCCAATCCTCTCGATCAGATTTGCATAAGTTATATCCCTATCGTACGGGTATAAACACACATTGTTAAGATGGAGGTAAATACCTAAGCTCTTTAAACTTGTTGCATTGTCTTTTCGCATTAAGTTTACAATCTTTTCGATAAATTTCTGTGCTTTGCAAGAACCTCAGTTAAAATATTGCATCTCCCTCATTCCGCCAGAGTCGAGCAAGCCCCACTAGACGGGGCAGAGAGAGAGAGAGAAAGCGAAGTAAGGGAGTCAGCCATAGGAAACTATTTCCTTCATTCTAGCTATTATATTGATCTCTTGTTTTCCCTTATTTTTTAAATTTTGACACCCCACAGATTTTCGCCAACATGCGCCAAAAACTTGCATGTAAAAAATATCGTCATCAAATTTCGAAATGACCGAACAATTTCATAGCATACGTGCGGGCGTGTATGATTATTGCAAATATGATTTCCGATCAACTAAAAATAACGTTAGCCCATTTTAGCGTAGTTCAGGTGAAAGATATCATGCTCATATTTGTTTTGTAATTAAAGAGGAGGATATAGCTATTATTAATTGAAAGTGTTCGCCTGTTTAAATAGAGGGTGGGTAAGTGGGCTCCCCCTGGCCCGGCCCGGGGCCCCCCCCCGGGGCCCGCCCCCGGCCGCGGGTGGGCCGCCCGGCCCCCCCCCCCGCCGCCCCCAGCCGGGAGCGCCGCCCCGGCACGCAAGCCGGCCCTGGCCCGGCCCCCCCCCCCCGCCCCCCCGCCGTGGGAGTGGCTAAGCCCTGTCTTCCTCGGTATATTTTAAAAACGAGGTGGTATATTTTGGTATATTTCTAAGGGTCAGAGCGGTTTGTTTTATCGACAAGTGTGTGGTCACACTGACCAGCTGTTTTCTTGCACAACATTTGCGGCGAGCCATCGATAGTTTTGAAAAAAAAACAGTCGATACTATCGTAATAATATCGGGCTCAAATAATTATTAAAAAACCATTGAAACCTTTTAGGAACTTGTCCATTGTAAAAATAAGATGCCACCTGTCGATTTGTTTACAAATTTGTCTAAGTATTTTAGAGCAGCCAATCCAAACTTATCAAGAGCGCAACTGTATCTCAATACTATCATGATAGTCGCAAAACCGTCGATAGTAGCGGATAGCAGCAATATATCGATACTATCGATAGTGCCCTCGATGGTTTAACACCTCTGCTGCTGCTATTTTCCATAAAAAACATAAAATTAGTGACACAAAATGCGCCTCACCAATGTCCTGTTCAAGAAGGTGAAGAGCAAGTAAGTATGTTCACCTGAGAGGCGGGTATAATTGGGTAATTTGTGCTGTTGTGTTCCCGTAGACGGATCATGGTTGTGCTGGAGAGCGTGGTTAGCGGACATCAGTACAATGCGTTCCGCGAACGCCTGGCCGAGAAGATCGAGGTGATACGCTTCGATCCGTACAGTGAGTATACATATGATATATCATATCAATATGAACCGCTGAGATGGACATCTTTTCTCCACAGTTCAACAGGAGAGCCTCTACCGCGAGCGCAAGAAAATCCGCAGCGCCTGAACTACAGAATAAATAAATGTTACACTACACGCACCCACGAATGTTGCATCACATGGAGTATATATTTTTTTTGTTATTTTAACTCATGTTCTTGTTCATTTTCATGCTCCAGTCGCTGCCCTAGGACTCGACACAAAACATTGAAGACATTTAGCGGGCTAAGGCGTGGGAGGGAGTACACGAATTACAAATGGATGAACAGAACAGGGAAATTGCTTAGTATACTAGGACTCGACTCTTGCTTTGGGTTCGGTTCTTTTGGGGGGAGATGCCCCAACTTATGGATGATTTCTGAAGGGCTTCTCAACCATAAGGATACCGCGCTCCCAGAGGGCTTCGGCAAACTCCAAGCGGTCTTCATCGTTGCCCATCGGGGGTAGATTTTTTATCTTTGTATAGTGGGGATAGGCTTGAATTAGCATCTCGACAGCAGTACCCTGGCTCGGTTCCAGCTCAAAGAAGTTCGGCTCATATTTGCAGTACTCGAGACCATTGTCCGAGTAGTAGTAGCAGCGCAGGAAACCCTCGTCGCCCGTCAGGCGTACGATATTAGCACGCAGCAGACGCACTGCCGTCCCCTCAGTGAAGTTGTAATCATGCGAGCAATGGCCATTTTTATCGGCGGTGTTTCGTATACCGTATACAGTGTGCATCATCTCCGCGGGCGCAATGGCGGGAGGCAAGGCCTCGTGCTGGAAACGTATGGCCAGCTGGTCCAAGGCCTGATCGATCTGACTCTCGGTGGGCACCAGACGCTTCGCTAGATTCTGGATATGTTGGATCATCTTTTTGCGGTGCGGCCCCGTAGTTTTGTCGTTGGCCAGGCCAACGTGTTGCCAGATGTTCAGCGGTAGGCCTTTGCGCAAATTCAAGGTCTGCTCGACACTCTCCTTAATGACCAGGGGCATGAGCTTCTCCATCAGATTGGCGTACGACTGCTGCTGGTAGGCGCTGAGGGTAATGTGCAGCGAATGCGAGTTCTTCTCTGTGATGGCCTGGTGGATCCAGCCGCGTGGAAAGTATAGAAAATCGCCCGGCTTCAGTACAATATCCATGATGGGATCGCCCAATTCGGCCTGGCTGAGGTTGCCCGACGATTCACGGGGCAGTTCTTTGGTGGGGGGATAGATGCGCCAGCGCTTCTTGCCCTCCACCTGGAGAACAAAGGCTTCAATATCATCGTAGTGCGGGGCGAATCCCTGGCTGCCGGGTGGCGTTAGATATACATTGGCCCCCACCAGGCAATGGAAGAACTCCTGCAGCTTGATGCACAACTGCCTCAGTGCGATAAGGTAGGTGGAGGGATTCAGGATACGGATGCTGCAGCCGCGTCGATAGTGCGCCCAAACGCTGGGCGGCAAGGCACGACCTTCTGGGTTTAAGGTCTTCCGGACGCCGCCCTCATAGCTGGTGACATCGATGTTGGTGGTAAACTCCACGTGGTTCTCGATCAGCATTTGGTCGATCATATTGAATGATATTAGATTAGAGAATCTTCCTGGTGTCGTGCTGTCCACTCTAAACGCCTCCTTCTCCCAGTGGTCCCGCAAGAAGGTTGCCATTGTCATCGGAGCAATGAGCTCAGCCATTTCGCGCTTTCCCTCTTCAATGCTGTTTTCCTTGTGCACTTGATTTAATGGCTCCTGGCTGGAAGCTCCTGCTCCAGGTTGAACAGGTTTAATTAGACCGATTTGAATGCTGCATGGCATGCTGGCCACGGGTTCCTTCTTCAGCGACAGTAGGAGCGGCGACGTCCCCTCCACCTTGACTGGAACCTTGGTGTTCTTGTTGCTGGGCAGCGGACATGAATCGGCTGCAGCCGGGGCAGCTTGGGACAACCTCTTTTTTTTGGGTGGGAGTGGACACGACTTGGCATCTGCTGTGGTGGCGGCGGCGGCAACGGTTTCCGATTCTTTGGCAGCTGGCAGCGACTTACGTTTGATGGGGCAGGAGGTCGCCTTTGGCTGCTGTCCTGCTAGAGTGGTCCTGGCAGCCGATGTCGACTGGCCGACTGGGGTGGATGAAGTGCGCTTAGCGCCGATGGGCTTGCCGCCCTCCTCATCGTGGCGAGGCTTCAGTGACTCACGCCTTTTGGCCGGAGTTTCTGGCGAGGATTGGGACGAGCTGCCTGTACCGGAGTGGCTATTCAGCGTGTACTCGTCGCCATTGTCGGCGGAATCAAAATGATCACTGCAATCGTGGGAGTCGCTGCTGCTTTCGCTGGTGGAGCTGTCATCCTCCTCGTCATCGCCGCTGCTGCCGTCCGATTCGCTGCTGCTGCAGTTGTCGGCGTCGCTGTAGCTACCATTCTTCTGCGGCTGACCCTTCTGCTTTCCGCCATTTTTTGCGGCCACGCTCTTGTTACCGTTTCTGGCGGCCACGTTTTGGCTGCCATTTTTGCCGGCAACTTGTTTTTGGCCACTCTTTGTTCCTTTTTGTACATTCTTTGAGGTTGCGGCGCAGTGATAGGCCGCAAAAGCCGAGACCTTTTTATTCTTATCGGACATCTTAACACTCGTGTAATTTTTTATCAATCGCTTGTCGAACACCTGTTACATCCTTGTTCACTGCAAATAGGAGATGTAATTTTAGCAACGAAATTCAATTGTAGCCTCTCTCTCTCTCTCACGTGCACACGTCTCTGACTGTAAAGTGCTGCCAGACAAGTGAAAAGACTAACTTGAGCAGTGCTGCCAACTCTTCTAGCTTGGTCAAGAATTTTTTAATTCGTTTAGTATTTTCCAGACTTTTTTAGGACGCGTTATGCACATCAAAATACAATTTTCTTACTTGTTTAAACCTTATTTTATGAATAATCAAATAAAAATGAGTACTAAAAATGACCAAATCCTTTAGGAAATTAATCAATTTATCGTATAAAATTATATGATCAGTGCTGGGGGATCCAGTAATTAGCTAATACTAATCCGAATATCAAAATCGATAATATTTGATGAGTGATTGGTATGGGCCCAAAGTCCTCGGTATATTTACGGTATATTTTGAATATGATAGCGTATATTTTAATATATTTATGAGGGTCAAAGAGTATATTTTATCGGTTAGTTCGCGGTCACTCTGGTCGCACGTTTCGTTTATATTTTTCTCGCGCTCTCTTTAACAACGAACGAAGCGAAAGCACTAGGCCGTGCCGTGTGTATAATTATTAGACAAAAGCGATAAGCGGGCCAGAAATTGAATAAATAAAAGGGACCAGTGTGTGGTGTGTGACAATCACTTGGAACAATCCAGTCGTCAGGACAGGCAGGGACAGAGGCGTGTAAATAGGAAGGGCTGTTAACCGCGTGAGAGTGGGACGAGAGAGGACGAAATCTCTCAAAGACAGGGCTGTCAGGCCAAAACCAGGTGTTTACAACTTATTCCTCTCTCTTTCTCTCTTGATATTTATTTGTGTAGATGTGTTGTGTGTTCCTGTGCCGCCTGTGTGTGCATGCGTGTGCGTGAATAACAATATCAAACAATTCATGCAATAAATTATAATAGTTAACTGATAAATAACAGCAATTGTTTATTTTTTTTTTACATATTTTTTGATGGTTGCTGTTGTGCATTGGGACACACACAGCGGAGTAAACGAAAATTTCAAATTCCTATAATTTGGTTTTGAACAATTTGAAACCAAAATGGCCCCAGCACTGAGCAAACTGGCCAACAATCAAAGCGCCATTGTTGGTGTGGCAGGCATGACGGCAGCCGTGTGGATAATTGCCTACGGCAAGATGTCCAACAAAAAGAGGTGAGTCCCCCCCCACGCTGTACGATGCGATCCATCCCCACCACAGACGACCTAATCAAAATATCATCAGTAAAATGATCTCTTTGGCGTGTGCGCTCTCATCGCCCGCTATTTTTTTTAATCAGCCAACTCAAAAAATTGGGCAAGGTCTCGGTCGGGGTCTTTTAAAAAATTGTGCTTGACATTGAATTTGATTTACGATACGCGAGTATTTACGCTAGGTCTGCACTCTGCCCCAAGCCTCCCTCTTAGCCCGACACTGAGACTCGATTTATTTTTTTTTGTTGCAATCGTTGCGGTTCTCGCTGTGTGAATGTGTGTGGATCGTACGATGCCCGGTAGTGGGGTCGTCTTTGAAACTGGTTTATTGCATTTTATGTTCGTCCACCTGCCTTTCGATTTCCCTCCGGACTAGCCCCAAGGACAGCCAGCTACCAGCAGCTGTTCCGTTCAGACTGATCTTGTTCCCACCCAACATCTCAATGGAATAGAAAGGGGTAAGGGGTTGCATTGCCATTGCCCCAGTTAAGGCTTTCACTCTGCCTGGCTGTGTGTTTTTTTTTTTTTCATTCCAAGTGCCGCTCTGCTGCACTTCTTGCATTAGCCTTCCTTTCTGATCCAACTCTCTCTCTCTAATCATTCGCTTTCTTCAATCATTCGCTAAAGTTGATACTCTACCACTATGTATCTGTTAATCTTTATAAGAAAGGGTTCTTCACTGCTTCCTCACTTGAGGCTTTCACTTCACTGCCCCCCCACTTACTGCCCCAAGTACCGCTCTGAGTAGCCTGAATTTGGAAAAACGGTTGAAATCGATAGAGCTAGAGCCAAGCACAAGAGATTGCTGTACAAAGTCGCTCCCACTCCACAGTTCCACTTTTTACAATCCAATTTTTGATGTGCAGACGACGAGGCCACGTTTTGGGGTTTTCGTTTTGATGGACTTGGGGTTTTCGGCTGCGCTTATCTTATCTGCAGACTCGCTGGCCAGACGACTCCCATATTAACCAATGCTTCAAGTATCGCTTGTGGTGACCCTCGACATGGTTAAGCTGATTGCCTGTTACCACCCCCACAATTGCTATGATTCGATCCATGCGATATGGGATACCAGCATTATTCGATCTATTTCTGGTCTAATTTAATTGAATTCCAAATGCTGATTCTATTTGCATGACCAAAGCAATTAATTAGAGAGAGATTGTGGGCTGTATTGTGGGGATTGGATTGCGGCTGGGAATGCGGCGAACCACTCGATAATTGTCTCGATAATGGTTCAGTCTCGATATCAGGCGCACACTTTCTGTGTGCACTTTGGAAAGCAATAAAAAACATTTTAATGGGTTGCCGCCGTTGTCCGCTCCCGCCCGTTGTGGCCGGTAAATTTATGCGACGTGTTGCATATTTTCGCGCCCTACGCCTGATCTGTTGTGGCATATCAGTTCTGCTGATGCCATTAGTGATGCGTGATAGTGTCGAGTGTGAGAGTGAGTGAAAGGCTGAATGAATTGACTCACAGCAGGGTATGCATTAGGTATATTTCGTCGACTCCTACCCGCACGCTCACTCGAAACGCCAAATGCAAATCTACACGACCCCGAGAGCCGCAAGTCCAACAACTTTGACATCCAACAGCAGCCCCCTGCAAAGCAATTAAACACGTAGCCAGGCAGCCAGCCAGATAGCCAGATAGCCAGGGTGCTGCTGTATGATGGGCATGGAGTGGGGGTGAAAGCGTATTTGGAGTTGGCCAACAATTGCATCATCCATATGGACACACGGAGGACAGGTGCCACAAGTGTCACAATTTAATGGCATCCCGAGTATCAAACATAAATATTACGAGACACGAGTGCGGCGCAAGTACCCGGTAGTACCTTAATGACTGGCCAGAGAGACCTCCTAAAACCTACCAAGATGGGGCGGCCGGGGGGTTGGGACCGGGCCGGGTCTTCACTTAAAAAAACGAGACATTGTACAATTCTTGTTTCGTTTTTTGTTTTGCGTGTTCCCTTTTGTTATTCCAACGACAGGCAGACAGAGCGGCCAGAATAAATGCTAATTTCTAGTGTAGTTGTAGCCGTCGCGTCGTCATATTCCACAGGTAGACAAACGGACAAGAGAGCGGGCACTTCTCTTCTCACCTCTTCGGGTGTACGAATGTACGAGTGTGTGTGTCGGTTTGGGCAACTGTTGCGTAACATTGGCAAAAAACGTTTTTTTTTATTTGGAACCACAACCTAAACGGTAAATTGTAAACGGTAAAAGAGTTGTTGTTTTTTGGGTTATTTTCTTCATTGCCATTGATTACTGTTTGCCTGATAATATTGTAGTTATATTACGCCTCAATTAGTGGCCAGACATTGGGCATTATCATTGGGAGGGGGATCGGGGAAATACTGCTCTTTGTGTGGCTCTGGCATGGTCTGGCCCTGGACCTAGCTCTCCCTCTCTCCTCTGTCTTGCTGCTTTTATACACCCCTTGGCAACAGTTGGTCGCCGCCCCGCCGCCCCGTCTCTCTCTCTATATAATGTAAATCTCCTTTCTACTGCTGTAAATTGCTGTAAATTTCCACATCCAATGTCGAAGTTTTGTGTTTCGTGTAATTGCGAGCCAAACTAATTTTGCGCGTGAAATTAAGTCTCAATTTGAATGCTGATTTACGGGGGATGCACTTGCAAAGCCGCCAAACTCCAGTAGCCAGCCGGATTGCAGTAACATCTGAGAGAGTGCAGCAGCGCCAGCAGCAGCAGCAGCAGCAGGTCGATGAAATTCCTCTCTCGAACATGCTTACGTACATTTGTACATACATACATGTTCCATATGAGTGTTCCACAACGGGAATGGGTTTGTGTTTGGCACATGTTCGTCAGCAGGGAGCGGGTGAGAGAGGGAGATGCAAACAGGAATGGGTGTATGGGTAGTATGACTTGTATATGCATCTGTATTTGTTTCGCACATGTTTATCAGTACGATAAGAGAGAGCGAAACGAGCGATCAGATAGGGAAGGGGCAAGGCTAGGCTAGGCTAGGCAGGCCAAAAAAAAAAAGAATAGTTGAACTTTGCTCACCGCATTGAGAAATCAGTTCGTCCCCCCTGAGTCAGCAGCCCCCATCTGCTGCTCCCCTTCCTCCTACTACGCTCATCTCGTGTTTGGGTTCAATGTGCCTCCAGCCAATCGATTGCCGGTGGGCGATAAACAGCAGCGGGAAGACACTTTCGATCCACCGAAAGATACAGACGGAAAAGGTGGGGTGGTGTTGGGAGAGTAAGAGAGCGTTGATGGAGACTCACCGGACCCGGGCCGGCCCGATCGAGCGACCTATGGACCCAAACACATGTTGTACGAGGGAACGGGCGCGCTGGCGGCGGAAGAAAAAAAAACGGGTTTTATACACGGATTTCCAAATAAGGAAACGCAAAACGATAAATACAGACAAACACAAGAGCATTACGAATAAATTAGAGAGCCGCCGCCGCTGCCGGCCCATGGCGTTTGGAATTCAAGAAATGACCAAGTCATCGCGACTCATCATCTTTTGTGTCGACGAATGCGCGCGCGACACCTAGAGCCAGCATAGAGAGGCATGATAACCCGGGCACGAGCTTTGTACTTTGTCATGCCCCAGCCTCAGTCGCAGCTGCAATCGATTCGCAGCCGTTGGCGATGTCTGCTGCAATTCTACCTGTCTGACCTTTGGCGGTTCTTCGATTGCCCGGCCACTGAACCGTCTTCTATACATATATTTCAATGCAATTCCATTTCCCTGCTCGTTGGAGTATGTTTAACTGTAACTTTAAACGATTTTGTCATTTGCAGAAAATCCAGCTATGAGGACAAGATTCAGTACACAATTGCCGAAAAGAAGGATAAGAAGGCGAACAAGGCCCATGTCAATTCAGTATTCTTCAAACAGCTGCGAAAGCTGCTCCGTAAGTCAAATGATTCCAAATTCCAAACTCCACCCCATTCCCTGTAGAGTGCACGCTAATTAAGTATGTGTCTCGTCTCGCCTGGCTTTTGCAGCCATACTCATACCTGGATTCTGGACCGTGGAGACGGGACTTATGTTCCTGGTGGCCGCCGCACTGATTGGCCGTTCGGTCAGCGACATCTGGATGATCCAGAATGCGACGGTTGTGGAGAGCACCATCATACATATGAATAAAACCAAATTCAAGGCGGCCCTGCTCAAATATCTAACAGCCCTGCCAGCGGTAAGGCATCACAGTTATTTCAAGAGCTCCCAGGGCTTGCCTAATACTCCTAATACCCATTGCAGATCTCTGTGGTAACCAATGTCCTGAAGTGGAGTCTGGGCGAGCTGAAGCTCCGCTTTCGCACAAATCTAACGCATCATCTGTACAATCAATACCTGAAGTGAGTTGGTCCCCCCAGCATCCAGCACATGCCCAGAAATCTGGTTGATCTTATTCTGGTTTCTCCTCTCTTTTTTAGCGGCTACACGTACTACAAAATGTCGAATCTGGACAATAGAATAGCAAACGCCGACCAGCTGCTGACCACGGACATTGACAAGTTCTGTGAAAGCGCCACGGATCTGTACTCGAACATTAGCAAGCCCGTGCTGGATATATTCATCTATGTGTACCGCCTGACGGTGAATTTGGGCGGCAAGACGCCTTCGATCCTAATGCTGTACCTGCTGATCGCTGGTGTGTTTTTAACACGCCTGCGCCGTCCCACCGGCCGACTGACTGTCGAGGAACAGAAGCTGGAGGGAGAGTTCCGGTATGTGAACAGCAGGCTGATCACCAATTCGGAGGAGGTGGCCTTCTATCAGGGCAATGTGCGCGAGAAGCTCACCCTGTTGGCCAGCTACTCCAAGCTGCGGGCACATCTGAGCAAGTTCCTGGAGTTCCGCGTCAGCATGGGCATCATCGACAACATTATTGGCAAATGTATGTTCAAAAAAAAAACCCAAAGGCAGCATGCCGCTTAGTCCCCACTCACCCCCACCTCTGTTCTGTTTGCAGACTTTGCCTCCATTGTGGGCTTCTATGCGGTGTCCATACCCTTCTTCACCGAAAATCATCCGCTGCTCTCTGGGGAGCACAGCGGACAGCGATTGCAGGCCTACTACACCTACGGTCGGATGCTGGTGAAGCTGGCAGAGGCTATTGGCCGTCTGGTGTTGGCCGGACGGGAAATGTCACGGCTTGCGGGCTTCACCGCTCGCATGACCGAACTGATCAAGGTGCTGGGTGATCTCAACAAGGGCACCTATGAGCGGACCATGGTCAATGGCAACAATATCACCCAGAATGTGAGCGGATCTGGAGCGAGTAGCTTTGGGCCAAACAAGGGGATCATGTGCTTCGAGGACAAAATCATTCGGTTCGAGCAAGTGCCTCTGGTCACGCCCAATGGCGATGTGCTGCTCAAGGAGCTGACCTTCGAAGTCAAGTAAGTGGCTGCGCGCTGCACTCCTTTCATCGAAAATATCTCTATACTGTGTGCTCTTGCAGATCTGGCACCAATGTTCTGGTTTGCGGCCCCAATGGCTGCGGCAAATCCTCGCTGTTCCGCATCCTTGGCGAGCTGTGGCCCACGTGGGGTGGCAAGGTGACAAAGCCTTCAAGAGGCAAACTCTTCTACATACCTCAGAGGCCCTACATGACGCTGGGCACATTGCGCGATCAGGTACTACAATCGATTGCATTGCCCCCTTGATGACATTCAGTCACACTGTTCTCTTTTGCCCTCTAGATCATCTATCCACACACGCGTGAGGATATGCGACGAATGGGCCAATCGGACGAGGATCTCATGCACTATTTGGACATTGTTCAGCTGACGTATTTGGAGCAGCGCGAGAATGGGCTGGATGCCATCGAGGACTGGATCGATGTGCTATCGGGTGGTGAGAAGCAGCGCGTGGCCATGGCCCGACTCTTCTACCATCGGCCACAGTTTGCCATTCTCGATGAGTGCACCAGCGCCGTGTCCGTGGATGTTGAGGGCAAAATGTACAGCTATTGCCGAGAGGTGGGCATCACGCTCTTCACTGTCTCGCATCGCAAATCGCTTTGGGTCCATCACGACTACTATCTGCAGTTCGATGGACGAGGCAGCTACGAGTTTGAGCCGATTGACCAGGACAAGGAGCATTTTGGCTCCTAATTAGCCAAACCTTCCATTAATTACGCTTCCGTTTTTTTTGTCCATTACGAACCCCAAAAACCCAATGGCCCAATGCCCAATGATCGAGAGCAGGCAAGCTGTGTGCAATTTCCGCTTCATTTTAGGCTGTAACTTTTGTTTGGTGCTGGCAAAAATCCCTGCTCCTATTCCGCCTCATACGCCTCCACCTCTTGGCCCTGTGTCTACTTCTACCTCTACCGTTTCTTGCTTCGACTGTGTGATGTGTGTGTGTGTGTGTGATTTTATTATTTGTTTGTTTTGTTCCCTGGCCTCATTATATTCCATAGCTTAATTCGGGGCTTAGTCGGCTTTTAGTTGTATTGTGCGAGAGAGCAGAGAACAGCAGAGAGTTTGGTGATTAGAGATTTAAGCGTAAAGTAATACACACACCCCTCCCCCTGCTTCCTTCCCCCATAGGATGACAAATTATGATCGACAGAGAGAGTCTGTATAGCAAAAACAAAACAAAAAAAACACTTTTTAGTAAATTTATACGACAAATATACACAATATAAATACATACATACATACATACTAGATATATATATTTATATATAGATGGCGCACACAAAAGTGTCCCGCCGCCCCTAGTAATTTGTAAATTACACATTCGATTATCCTTTTATATCCTTTTGCTTTTTGTATTTTGTATTTCTCGGTTTAAATTGGAGCATTATAATTTTTTTTTTTTCTTTGTGTTTGTGTCAGTGCGAAATGCAATAAAATGTGTATATAAATATATAAAATAATACAAAAAAACAAAAACAAAAAAAGACGAGTGTAAATTAAATTGCTTACTTAGGGCGACACTAAGCTAAGATGTCCAGTCGAATATCGGAATCGATGGGTAGGGATGGGGGCGCTCAATTCTTTCGCTTGGGCTTTTTGCTTTCCATCAGACTCATGATGGTCTTGCGCATGTCCTCCGTTTCCTTAAGCTCCGTCTCCAGATGCTCGACCTGCTCCTTCTTTTCCTGCAGCTGTGTCTCCAGCACGGATACGAGATCTTCACACTTTTTGCGACCCTCACGCTGCTCCTCGAGGCTCTTGTGCGTTTTGGCCAGTTCACGATCGCGCTCCTCAATGCTGCGAATCTTCTCCTTGATGTCCTGCTCATAGGCCAACACGGATTTCTTAAGCTTATCGATGCGTGTTATCTACAAAAAGAAAACAAAATAAAAAGCTTGGAAATCGTTTACCGGGAATACTGTCTATGGGATCTTACGCTATCCTTGCTGAGGCACTCCAATTTAATGAGTTCCTCGCACTTTGAACTCAGCTTTGTTTTCAGATCTTCGCAATCCTTTTGGAGGCCGGACACCTCCGATCGCTTAACGGCCAGACGGCGTTCGCTGGCCTTCAAATGATCCTCGTTCTCGGACAGCTGCTTCAGTAAGTTGCTCATGTTGCTCTTCAGCTTGTGTGTCTGCTGTTTGAGATCCTTGCACTGTGTTTGCAGTCTAAACAAAAGCGGGGGGAAAATGGGCATGGGAGATAATTCATTCATCATCTGTGTGGATTCCACCTACCGTTCCTGGCTGATGAGCAGCTCAAAGTTCTTGGTCTGGAACTGTTCCAGTTCGGCATTATGGACATTGGCCAGCTGTGTGCTGCCAATCAATTGATTGTTGGCCTGCTCCAGCCGCTGCTGAACGTTCAGCATGCCGCTGTTGAGGCTGTCGATGCGATGGTTGTACAGTTCGATCACCTGCGAGACGGGCGCCGACTGCAGTTCGTTTCGCTTGACAATTCCGCTTATGTTGTCGACCAGTGACCCGATGCGCTGCGACAGCTCCTTGTTAATGAAGGTGCGATGGCATTTGAGGATTGAGCTGAGTGTATACCACTGCTGCGGTGCTTCACTGCTGCAGCCAGCAGCGGCCGAACCAACCGACGAGCAATTGAGTCGTACACTGTTGATGCTTGCCAAATGCTTGGGAAGAGATGCGAATTGGACACAAGAAGGGAATTGGGGATTGGTAGTGACACTCACCTTGGCCACGGCTGACTTGGGGAAGCGTTCGAATCGGGCAATCTGTAGAACGGCCTCCACCACCTGCTCGTTACCACTGGCCATGCCCCGGGCCAGGGAATACTGCAGCTGGGGCTGGTCCAAAAGGGAGCAGCACTTTTCGAAGTACGCCTTCTTGGCAATGCTGGCAAAATTGATGAGCAGCAGCAGGCAGAATATCGCCTTCTCCACCTCGGCCTGTCCCAGCGACTGATTGCTCAGGGATTGTGGCGTCAGGGCGAGCGGAGCGGCCAGTATTTTGTCAAAATACGACTCAGATATTTTCGATAGCACTAACTTTTCCGTCTTGGCCTCGCACAGCAGATCCAACAGCAGCCGGAGAATGGCCACGACATGCGCTGGCTTCGTTTCGGGCCGCTCGGCACTGGCCACCAGGCTGACAAGATTGGTGGGCTCGCGGGCTATCTGCTGCGCCACGACCGCACCCTTGCCCCGACGCAACAGAGTGGAGAGCAGCTCAATGGCCGCCACTCCGCACAGATCGGAGACCAGCCATTCGCCGATCATCTCGTAAAGACGCGGTGTGATGGCGTCCAGGCTGATGACATTGTTCTGCTCCACTGATAGATCCAGAATGTAGCTGATGAGGCGGAAGATCAGGTCAAGGCAGATCTGTTGATGCTTTCGCGTATCCTCGTGCGAGTCGTCCATGGTGTTGCGCGAGTCGATTTGCTGAAACGTTTGTGAGTGGCAGGCATAAGATGATAATGAATGAATCGATATATGATCTGCGCATGCTTACATCCAGTAGCTTTTCCACATCCTCGCAGTAGTGGCTGTGGGAGAGCATCGCCTGATGGAGGCCCGCATGGCTCTTGGAGTCCAGCAGATAGTCCACAATGTGACGCAACTGGGCGACATTCCAGTTCTTGAGGCAGTCCTCGATGCCCGCAAAGCATGTGCGCAGGAAGGTGTGCAGCTCGCGCTGCTCAAAGGCGTGCACATCCTCGGAGAGGATGATGAGCATTTTGTAGGCGAGCAGGCCGTAGTTAATGATGCGTTTGCAGAAGCTGGATATGTTCACGCAGCGCAGGAAGAGGAACAGCACCACGAAATTCTTATAGCAAAGATTCACCAGTATCGAGAGGGCCAGCAGGGCGTGCGCTGGCGGCTGTGCACCGTCGTCACTTTCGCCCTCCACATTGTGGACAATGTCCACCAGATGCTCGAGCAGCACTGGCAAATACGGCTCCTCCCAGGCGATGTGTATGCCATATGTTAGGTCCTGCAGCAGCAAAAGCAGACGATAGACCCGCTCCTCGCGTTCCGTTTTCTTCAGTAGAAAACTCAGCAGCGGCACAAAGCAGAACTTCTCGACAATGGCCCCACGCGCATCCAGATTCCGGCTGCAGTGCTGCACCAGCCCCACACATGCCCACAGCACCTCGCACTCGCCGTCCAGCGCACTCATCAGCGCATGCAGATCCATAAAGAATCGCGCCAGCTGCAGATTTCCAGGAGTCGGTGCATAATAATGCGGCTGCACCTTCGTTCCCAGCAGAGCGATGCTGCGGTGCAGATACACCAGCGACTCTTCGCTCTTTAGCTGGTGGTAGGCTGTTGCCTGGGTGCTAAATTCTCGCATATACGCAATGGCCTCTGCCACTCCTGCGTCCTGGTGCGCCAGCGTTGAGTGCTGCTGCTGCGGCGGCGACTCGTTGTTGTTGTTGCCGATGGTGCTGCTGCCATTGCTGTTAGTGGCCACTGGGGGATTCCTAAGCGAAGACATTTTGTCGCCAACAATACAACAATACACGCACTCGAAATTTTTTCTTGAACAAAAAATTGTTTATTTCGAAAGTGTGTAATCGCTTCGCGCTAGTAGTATCGATAGCCTTTCTGAGCGAATATCATGTATCGATATGCGCAACAGCATCCCTAAGGGCTAAGGTTGGCAGCGCGGCACAGCGACATACTTTGGCTCGAGTTGGCAGGTCCGGCTTGAACAAGGTTAGCAGGTTCGGTTGAACAAAAGCGCGCAAAAAGTTGAATTTGAAAAGCAACCGTTTTGTCGAAAGGCAGATTTTGCATTGCCCAATCGTTGGTAAATAATTTATTATGCTTGAAATAGATGATCATGCCATGGAAACTTTGCTGTGGAACAGTTTTACTTAAATGTTGCTTTAATTTTACCTAAATTCAAATAAAACTTCAAGGCCTTTCTGGGCGGTAGCCATCCTTTATTTAATATTTAATTTGTGAGCACACACACACACACGTGCATTACATTTCAAATAGCGCATAAATTTTGAAAAGTCCATGCAAAATCAAAGCGAAATTTGTTTGCTGGACAGCAGCAGCCTTCTCCCCACCCACAGGGGGATGCGAAGGATGGATGCTGGTCTGCTTCCTGCTCTGGACCTCGGTTGGTATGTATGATGGGGCCACATGTGTGGCGAGGCGGCTGCTACCAAATCAATCCCCCCTACCATTATGCTACCCCCTTCACATCACTGAATTACGCATGCTTTCAGCTCTAGGCATTGTGTGTGTGTGTGTGTGTGTGTGTGTGGAGGGGCTGAGCTTCAAAATGTGTAGAAAGTATAAGCCTAAGCTTTTTTATCGTTTCGACCATGAGACAGGCCATGGCCACAGTCCTGGCCGTGGATGAGGACCAGGCCAGGCCAGACCAAAAAAAGTGAAAGTGAAAGTGGTCCAAACATACAGCCAAACAGAGGGAATATTTAAATGGTGTGCTGGCTTTTGTATAGTTGAAAGTTTCAATATTGGCTCTGCAAAGGATGTGTGGATGGGTGGATGGTTGGATGGTTGGATGTGAATGTGAATGAGGCTGTGTGGGTGAAAAGTGTTTGCTCAACTGCCCAAAAAACGTCCACAATGACAGCACATAAGCAGACTTACACACACACGCACATCTGCTCCCCCCCCCTGCCGCCATACATATGCGTATGTATGTAAATGTATTTACATTATTCATACACACACACACACACGCACACACATGAGCACTTTTGAAAAATGCGTTTTAAACCGAAAAGCGGAAGCAGCAGCTTTTGACCAAGAAAGTGTGGGTGGATGGGTGGATGGATGGGTGGATGGGCCATGCCTGGTTATGTCTTATGGATAGATTCAATCCTTAGCTGATTTTGCTACATGCGCTACATTTCTCATTCTGTCTTCTCTTTCTACTGAATAGAGTAAAACTGGAACAGGTACAGGTACAGCAGTTACATCTGTAAATGTATGTAGATCTTGGTAGAGCACTCCTCAAGTCCATCCAAGCTATCCCCTTCCCCCCCTCCAACAATCATGTAACCCTCTATGGCATATTTTACCTCCTGCGTTCCCTATTTGCAATCTACTTTTAGTAGTTCTCAGACACAAACACACAGAGACACACTCATCGGGTTGGTGGGGGGTGGCGGGGACAAACCAATTGTCACATTCTCAAATACAAACACACACGCACCCACGCACACAATGGAAAGTTATGTGATTATATGTGCGTGTGTGTGTGTGTATGCCGCCCCTGCTGGGGGATGGCCGAGTGAACAGGAAACTTCTCTCCAGGGCATTCGCCGTTCAGTATGCAAAAAAAAAAGACTCACACACACACACACACATACACACACAGAGAGCAAATAAAAAAGGAAAACAAAAAGCGTGAAAACTGTGCAGGAATGAAACGACTTTGGGGCGCACCTCTGATCAGATATTCGTTTGATGGAATTCCGCGTAGCTGCTTACAATATCCGGAATCTATTGAGATACTGTGGGACTACGGCTTACGGCTAAACTGATAGCTAAAAACTACTTGGATCGGCCACAGACTCAGACGTTTGGGAGCGCATACTGACCGTGTGGATTGGCCAGCAAGTGGTGGATAAATAATAAAAGTACGCCAGCGCTACAGCCTCCCATCTGAATATTATGATCTCGTGCATCCTGCGATCTCCTTCGATTAGCTTTAGATGATGCACAAATATGTTGAGTGTACGCTAATAAGCCCCATCGACCCCCATCGATTGCTGGGTGTAAAAACAAAAAAATTCTCATCCGTTTGTTTGCCCAGCCATCAACAGTGTCCTGTCGCCAAAGCCCCCTTTCTAGCCCTCTGTCTGTGTGTCTGTGTGTGTGTGTGTATGTGTCCAGATTTAGCCATGTGTGTGTGTGTGTGTGTGCCTGGCATAAGTGTAAGCCGCTTTTAGGCGCTGCTAACAGAGCAAAGCGCTTTAAAAGGTTTTAAATTTTAGTCCCCAAGCTGAAAATGGGGATGGGGAAGCAGCAGCACTTCTTCCTGCCACAATGGATGGGGAGACAGAGGCAACAACTTTCACTGCGATCTGGTCTGATCATGACCCGCCTCAACATTGATACCCTTGAGCAAGGCTTGGCTTGGGCTTCACTCCCATCCGGCACTGCATCGAACGCAAACCAAATCGGATTGCTCAATCAAAAGGCAGCCCCGCACACACCCCCACACACGGATAGACACGCACACGGATCGGGGATCACAAGATCATGGATCACGGATCACGGATCGGGGAAACAACATTTGGATAATGGACAATGGACAATGGACCCCAGAGAACAGCAGGACAGTGGGACATGAGCATGGATAGGTTTTCAGATTTCTGTTGCTTTGTTATTTCTACCTGCGATGCCATTATTTTTTCTGATTTTCCACTGGATTAAGTGCAGAAAGGTGCGTTTCTGTGTCTGTCTGCTGTGTGTGCAACAAAATTTCGTTTTCTTATTCTCCTTCTATTTCTCTCTCTCTTTCTCATTCTGTCTATGCCTCATTGTTCCTGGCACACACACACACACACACAGGACGCACTCATTAACGTGGCATGCAACAATAAATTACCACAATTCGACATACGAACAGCATTGAGGGACGTGAAAATGGAAAAACTTCTGCTCTCTCAGCCGTCCTTGAGCCATCAGCGTTTATGCGGCACTCAGATCATGATCATGTACTGGAGAGTGAGTCAGTGACATTAACTTAAGGATTCAATGCAAAATTAATTTTATTTTTGACTTTTTCTGCTTCTGTTATGTGTCTGAAGATGTTGAATTTTGTTATTTTTCGATACATATTACGACTTGCAGCTGCATTCATCAAATAATCTTCAATTGGTATTATTTATTATTATTGAAATTAAGCGGAATACATTTAATGGCAAATAATATTAGAATTAATTTAATAGGCTTTAGTATTTATATATTAACATTCGATTATTATTATTATTTGTGTCTTAGCTTTAAGTAAAGATTTTCATAACTCCCGCCTAGATCTTGCTGATAGAAACGTTTCCAATTTCATTCATGATATTCCTCAAATTTGCTTTGTGTATTCTGTTGCGCATAAACCACGGTGGTGCTTTTCCTCGCAACCTGATTTTCTATCGGCCACAAACAACCACCAATGCAACTGCAACTGCAAGTGCCTCGACTCGCCCACTTTTTCCTTGTTTCCCTGCTCCTCGTTTCTCGCTCTTTGCTCTTTGCTCGTTGCTGTTCGATTCGATTTGAGTGCATTTTGCCGAGCACAGGAAACTCCGTGTGGCATGGTATGTTGTGCCCATGGTCTGGTCTGGTCGTCGTCGTCGCCACCACCTGTAGATTTTCTTGATTTCGGCCCTGGCTGCATTCCAAATGATGTACGGCGCCTTTTAATTGGACACGGTCTGCGTGATTGCGCCTGAGCCCCATCCCTGCTTCCCTGCTGCCCCTGCTGTGTTCTGAAGTGCGTGTATCTCTCTGTCTCTGTCTCTGCTCTGTCTCTGTCTGTGTCTGAGTGGGAGGGTTTTGGCATGCTGGTGTCCGTGTGTTGCATCATCAAAAGGAAAATCAAGTTTCAAGTTCAACATTATCATCATCATTATGTGTAATTATGCTTGTTGGAAGAGAGCCGGGCTGGTCTCTCGTTGATCTCTACTTTGATAGATGCAGATGCTGCAGCGAGGCTGCAAAAGGAGTAGCTACATACATACAATTAATTCCTTGCCCTGCCCCAAATCCCCAAGTAATAAAAACAATTCCAGAGTGTAGTTTACATTCTTTATTTCGGTTAAAAAAAATTCATCGCTTTTTGTTCATTCTGTCATGTGTCTGTGTGTGTTTGTTCTTGAATATTTTTGTATGACAATTTGGTTTGCTCCTGAGAGACAGCACTATTCGCTGCCTTGATTCTTGTACATAAATTCTCAGATTATAGTTTTCTTTTTTTGGTTTGTTTTGTTTTGAGGAAATTCTAGGTTTACATTCAGGTAGAATTGTTCAGGAATATTGGATATATGTATTGGATTGGATTACTGCCTTACACAACATTTCGTCTATAAAATTGTATTTAAAATTCCTGATGCCAAGTCGGCTGGATGCTGATTATGATTATGTGATTATGGGGCCTCTGATTGTTTGCTGATGCTTTTGGTATTGTTAGCCAAAATGCACAAATACCTCGCGCACACAGCGAATAACCAAATGTACAATATTGTATGAAGTTGATAGATTTTATTTTGGGCTGTTTCTTAGGCATTGGATGGAGTGAGAAAGGTACATGATTCCTTTTAAATTTATTGTTTCCATTTTTTCCGTGCATCTTTTTTCATTTGTTTCTTTGTTTTGTTTTGCTTTTTACCCCTAGGCAAAGTATTACACGTACTACACACACTTATAGAGCTTTCATTAGCAAACTTTTCCGACTTCTTTTTGAGATTTTGCAACTTTTGTTTTCGTGCATTTTCGAGCGGTTTTGAGTGATTGATTAATTTCACTTGTCCTTTCATTTATACCTGATCATATATGCATGTACATATATGTATGCATATCCTTTAGATACATCTACATATGCGTTTAAGTTTT